TTGTCAACGTTCAGCTGAAGGAAATTTGTGCTCATCCAGCCCCTGAGATCTGGCTGACAGAACATCAGGGACTGGGGGTCGCAGAGAGGTGGAAAAATAGAGATGTACTGCACAGGAAGCTTGAAGGTAATAATAATAATAATCCTTGCATTTGATATAGCGCTTTTCACGTCGGGAGGACGTCCCAAAGCGCTTCACAGAATATACTGTAAAGTGAATTGACTGTATACTTGTGGGCGAACGCGGCAGCCAATTGCGCACAGCAATGTCCCACAAAGAGTCGTAGATTGAAAATGACCAACTTATTATTGTTTTTGTTTTTTTGGAGGGATTATTATTAGGGTAGGAGTGAATCTGAAATTGATTCAGATTTTTGATTGTATGTAGCGAACACAAGTGACCAGGGGATCTAAAAGACAATTTAGGAGGAATCACTTCACACTGAGGGTAGCTAGGGTAGCCCATTTGATCTCATCCTTTCGGAATAGCCACCTTACAGTTTTCCCATCTTAAGAGCACAAGAATTTGCTGGACGAAAGAAGACCAAAGTTCATCCAGTTCGCCTTCCACCATCCTGGCAGTCGCATGACATGTGGTGTCCCAAACTATATATTGTATCCTGAAATATTATTTCCTAACATTTATATATATATATATATACACACACAATCATAAAACTTTGTCGCTTAAGATGAGATGCTAGAGCTTGCAAGCTTCATGAAATTATACGCGTAATTCAGCCCCTTCAGGAAACAATGGACTAAATTGGATGGAAAAACAAATAGTTTGACATTTGTAAATTAATCAATAATAATTACATTTGTTCCAAATAGGATTTACAACAAGAAGAACTTCCTGTTTTCTTTCCACTGTGTTACGATTCAATTTGTTCCAAATCATTGTTACAAGTCAACCAAGTTAGACAGAGGGAAAAAATGACATTTTTAATCTTCAGAGTACAAAAAAGAATGTGTTGGAATTTTCCATTTTTTTNCAAAGGCAAATTTCCACCTGTTTTGTGCAGTTGCATGGACGTCACTGTAGAACTGAAACGTTATTATAAAAGCATTACTGAATATTTGTAACAAGTCAGCTATAAGGTAGACTATAGCTATCCTGGTGTACACTGGGCTCTAGCAGTCAATGATTAAGAAACCTGACCTGCTTAGATGTGCAGTTCATAGATTAGCATCTGCAAATGTGCATTGATTGTTATCTGCACCTCAAGTGTGCAGTGTACGACTGCAGATCTTCATATAAAAAATTATTTCTCATTATAAATACAGACCATTCCTCCTTAGAATTATATTGGTTTTCTTTAAATTGATTTTTCAAGGTGGAGTTGTAACACACAGTGCCAGCTGTGAATAGTAACAGCAGAAGAACTATCATAGCTATGAATCATTGTGAGCCAGGTGATGCTTCCAGTAAGTAGAGCTTGTTACTGGCTAAGCGGAGTGGGGGGGGGGGCTCGAATAGTATGAATAAGGTGCTGCAATTTCCTTGTATTCCTTGTAATACAAGCGGGTGGACTACCTTAATGGCTCAGATGATTAAGTATAGCCTGCTCTGACTGGGCTATTTTCTAGTTATTAAAATCAACGCAGCCACACATTGATAACCTGCCTGTTTGAGCAGCAAATAAGAAAATTGAGTCTGGAGATACTGCAATGCAACAATGACAGTACCAATCCTGATCGTACTTTGGAGCCATTCGGATTTTGAGATCTAGTAAGCTTGTGCCTGTGGGGGTAGTAGGGGGAAGGGAGTAGACTATGTTGAGAGGTTTGCTGTCATCTCTGAAATCCTCCCAGCATGTTCCAAGGACTGTTCACAACTTGCTGGTTAAGTGAATACGTTTCAGCTCTCGTGTAAGGGGTTTTGTCGCGCACCCTCCCACCACTAAAGAAAAAAAGAAAATTATCCTGTAGAAGGCACTTTGTCATTCTTGATGAACAAGGAGTTTGCTGCTTCTTAATTGTTAAATTTACCACCAGTTACATTTGGAATCTGTGCTTGTCCTCACGGAGCCATCTCAGTGAACATTGTCTTTAAAAAAAATCCATAAAACCTAAATGATGCGCTGCAATGCCATGGCTGCAGGAAGGATAATGGTTCAGTTTGGGGGAAATTCTCGTCCTGGTAATGGGATTCCTTTTCACCATTTCACCAGTCACCCAAATCCACAATTTAGCACGAGTTACATCACAGTATTGTTGTTTAAACAGGTTTACCTACATGCACGCACACACACACAGAAAATAACTACTATCTTAGCATTTGAGTTATCTCCATCCCCAACCAAACTTTTTTTAAATATATATTGCAGATTATAAGGCGATGCATTCATACAGAAAGAAAACAAATTAAATTCTCAATGGATTAAACAGGATCAGGATCCAATATTCCAACGGTCTGAGATAAATGCGAACCTTATACAATGCAAAGACCTCACACATTCATTTATTGATTGTCAAGGCAGTCAGGATTTAAGGAGATATTTTGTTGATCTCCGATTCCCAGTCTGTGCTGCGATAGCTGACAGGGTTGAGGGTGGCAGTGGAGATACCACAATTGGCTTCAGCATCTGTTCACTAAGGGAGGGGAAAAAGAACATGTCGCCACGTTTCCATTAATTTCCGTTGAAGTGCACATACCATTGGGCAAAGATAGGCTCAGTCATGGCAGGTAAATGAATAATAATCCTTGCCTTTGATATCATAACACCTATAATATTGGAATATTTCAAAAGGGTTTGCCCACAGTTGCAGTCACTATACTTGACAACAACTGACTGTAAAACATTTGCACACAGCCAGGTGCCACACACTGGCATGAAATGAAACAATTAGCAATTTATCTGGAGAAACGCTGGCCAGGACAGTAAGAGAAACTCCCTCCTGTTCAAATAGTTTCATGGGATTTTTGAGGACCACTTGAACAGACAGATGGGACCTAAGTTTCATGAGCCATCTCAAGGACACTACCTCCAACAATGCACTATTCCCCCCATCACACCACTGGAGTAAGCGTCAGCCTAAGCCTGTGAGCTCAAATTCTGTCAAGGAGCTTGAACTGAAAACGTTTGGTGAAAATGGTACCCGCTGAGCTGATACCACAGGAGAAGTAATGGAATCAAGAGTGACCTTTCTGTAGAAGCATCACCTGATTTCCTCTGTAGGAAATACTAGCTTTTGTTTTGTTGTAATTTTCTCACAGTGCATTACTGGCTGACTTTGCATTATTACTTATTAAGAGCAAAATAAATCGCCAAGTGACTTAACAGGCTTAAGACAAGCGTGTCCCTCCAGAGAGAGCGTGCACTCTCATTCCAGATAAAAGGAAGAATTGCCGTGCTTGGTTATGTGAAAGTTTGGATACAAACTAAGCAACGGCGATGGGTTTTCATGTGTGTTGGACACCTGGCTGCCCAATAAAAAGACTAAGGTTCCTGAAAGGGATACCAGACGTTCAATTATAATCACTTCAAAAACAAAAAAATAAATTGCGTCATTTTCAATCCACGATTGTTTGTGGGACACTGCTGTGCGCAATTGGCTGCCGCCTTTCGCCCACAAATATAGTCAATTCACTTTACAGTCTATTCTGTGAAGCGCTTTGAGACGTCGAGAAGATGTGAAAAGCTCTATATTAAATGCGAGGATTATTATTATTATAATTTTTCCTTTCTCCCATTATATTGGGGAGAGCAAGTTATAAAGCCAATAAAGGTACTGGACACCCAGGTATAGTGCATTTTATGGCACCTTAAATATACAAGGCATCTCAGGGAGCACAAAAGAAATTGCCAGCATCCAGATCAAGAGATCACCGATGTTTCTCCAAGTCACGTTAATGAGATATCATCAGTATTTTGAAGTACTGTGGACCTGGTGGCTCAGATCTCAAAAAACTGATGTTGCCCAGAGGTCAACTCGATTCCAGTCTTCAATGGTCTGACGTGCGACTTTGCAGCCACAAAGACAACACTCATCTCTCCTCCCTGTGGCACTTTTTTTTCTTGTAAAACTGCAGATTTTTCAATAAAGCACTGAAATGAGATCAACTTACTCAAACCGCTGTATTTCATATGAAATCAATTGCAATGTTTGCACAACTTTTAACTCCAAACTAAGAACGCTGTATTCATCTTCAGGGGTTTATGTAGTAGTCAGTACCTAAGAATATAATACACATTTAACAAGATAATAACTCAACCCAACCAAGCAGTTTGCTTTTGAATGTTGGGGAAAGGCTCTCAAATAGTTTGCAATTACACAATGTAGCAGCTCATTTCTCCTGGGGGTTGCTGTGGCCACAAATTCTACCATATGGTTGTACTGTATGTTTCGAAGGCGAATAGGTTAGGTACGTGGCTGACAGACTAATTTTTATACAACAATAAAGACCGGATTAGTAACTAGCACGGATTCTGTAGGTTTAGATCTTGCAACCTGAAGGGTTGGAACAGGATGCAGCCTGTTTCGCTGAGGCTTGGTGTAGGAAAGCCCCTCTTGTTAAAATTGTGTCAGATGATTTAAAGCGATAGGTGCTTTTGAAAAACCTATTAGAAAGGTATTTCTCTTTCGCTCTGCAAACGATTAGGTACGAAACCCGAGAAAACTCCAGTTAAACTGGATACCCTATTCTAAGCATGGGTTGAATAATTTTGTTGCATGTCGGGACACTCGAAGCTGGAATGAACAAACACGGGATCGCATGGGGTTATGAGAGTACGCACATTAACATAAAACAAATCGAAATTCATTTATTCGTTCCTTTGCAATGATTCTCAACATGCAATCACTCGCTCACTAAAGCTTGTCAGAGTCAAAACAGATCACGTTTCCAACTGCAAAGTGTTCAATTGATTTCCAGTACCGGATTTGGTCCTGGGCCGCTTGAGATCAGCATCGAATAATTCAACTTCAATCGTTTAAAGAAAGCTGAGGAGCTGTTCATTTTTATGAAATCACAACAATCTTGCCATTCTGAGAGAATGTGTTTCAAACAATGGTTTATTTATCTGTAATCATTCTTTCACATGTTACTTTAATTGCTTGCCAAATCAGAAAGAGGATAATCTAGAATGCATGAAAAACAACCATTGTAAAAATTATTTTAAAACCAAACATACATACAGCCACTAGGGTTTTTAATTTAAAAGTGAAATAAAAGGATAAAATGTGAAAAAAAAACACTTTTGCCTGAGGTGATGACTATTTGTTCCTCAAAACTGCTCACCGCATGTGCCAACTCCTTGCCCATTGATAAAAAGGGATTTTTCTGAATAACTGGTTTCATTTCAGTTAATGCATTAGTGTGTTCTGCTTTGGGAAATTATGTGTTTTCATAAAAACGCAACAAGGCAGAATTGTGGTTTCCACACAACATGTGGTTTGCAATTCAACAACTGTCCAGTGAGTCCATTTTATTTTCTGTGGTCTTTTCTCAGAAGTAATTTAAGCAAATTAAAGTGTAAGTTATGAGATTCATTAACCAGCTAAACTCAATTATTCCCCCCCCCCCCCCCCCCCCCCGACATCACATTAAGGTGATAGCAATGTTTGAGGTTTTGTGACATGGGTATGTATATTCCTGCCCCAAATTTCACAGGCACAAAAAGTCATCTTCTCAAAAAGACATTAGTGTTTCCCTTGGAATTTTATAAGTTTTAACCTGGAAAGTAAGGAACTAAAAAAGACGGCTCCCCTTTCTGGAAATGGATCATTTAAAAAAAAGTAGTTTTGTCTGTCGCTATAGCAAAACTCCCGTGTGCATATTGAGAAATTAGAAGTACAATTTTATACAAGTGGCATTTATAACAATTCATATATATAAAAAAGCTTCACTTCAGTTTTTCAATGTTTCTCTATTGTTCCTTTCCTGCTCTATGTTTACGTCCCCCAAAACACTCCCGGGTAATGAGGAAGCAAAATTGTAATAAATTTCTTTAAAAAATTTAAGGTTAGCAAGAACCCTGCAATAATCAAAGTACTGTAGTATTGTAATATTAACAGTTCTCAATGGGGAACCTTAGAATCTAATGCTCAAAACCTTGGATATAGTCACAATTGTTTCTCAGTTAAAATTAGCAGTAACAGACAATAAAATATAAATCTGCAATATAAACACACCGACTTTTTTTAAAAAGAATGTCATCCTATTGAGCACATCGAGAGGCTATATATAAAACATGCTCAATTTATTGCAAACTAAATCCTTATATATCTTTTTTTGTAATTCTGGCAAACATCACTACATATATCAGCAGCAACCCATAAGCAAATTTAACAAACTTAATTTAGAAAATCCTAAATACTGGGATTTTATTCCCAGAAAAGGGCTAATAAGGGTTTGCATTTCAGGTAATATTAATGTAGAAGTTGTAAACACCCATTCTTACACAGAAACATGCATAGACTCAAATGACTGTAATGAACCCAATGGATCTGTAGCTTGTGTTGTGCTCAACCCTTACTGTTAAATAAGTTGGAATTCCATATAGTTAGCACAACAGATTCTGCAACGAGCGCTGGACAATTAAACTGCTGCCTTTCAACACCTGAATATGACCAGTTTCCATACAGTAACTGCAATATTCAAGTAATAAGTAATTTCCATACTTGATGTGGAAGAACTACTCTAAAATACTGTACAGCAAACGAGATGCAACGTTTAAATAAAACAGATCATTTTTTCATTTCATGAAAATGCTAATAAAAGGCCTTAATTTACCTTCAAGTTTTCTCAGACTGAGAGGTATGTTTAAGTCTATGATACACAGTCCAAGCTACAATTATGTACCCAATAATTTAGAAACAGCTGAGACATCCATTTCCTATATGCCAGTTAATACACTATACAATCGTGGCATTCACATTAAATCATAAAATATCTGTAAGGAAAGTAATTGAAATAAACATGAATCTGATGGGAGCCACAGTTCCAAAAATATACAAGTGATCAATGCCCTGTGGACATTAGGTCATGGATTGGTTTATGTGAAAGAATATAGACTGTCACAAGCCTGTTTATGAATTCCCCAAACTTTCAGAAGGATGTGGAAACAAAGATTTCTCTATGGCCTCCGTGAAAAGTGGAAGCTCCTCTGGTGACTGACGCAGGGTAAGGCAGAAGTCTCTGTTGTGAATATTGTGGCCTTTTTTGGTGTTAAGCTAGACGCTGGTCCTGTTGAATTTGTGGAGGTGGTTGGTTGAAGTTTGGCATCATTGGATGACCTGGACTAAACAGTAGTCAACACAGGATGTTCAGATCACTTACTATTCACCGTTCTCAAGAGCCTGAATGGTATCTTACATCAAGCACAGGACTCTAGAAAATGCAACAGTTGTAAAAAGAAAGTTAAACAGGCAGAATTGCTGGTAGAATACATTTGTCAAAATAATAATAATAATCCTTGCATTTGATAGAATGCCTTATCATGTTGATGAGATATCACAAAGCACTTCACATAATATATTGTAGAGTGGATTGACTGTTTTTATTTTGTGGGCAAAATGTAGCACCCAATTGCACACATCATGTATTTAAGTTCTGACACAGTTTTACTAATATAAGACAGCTTTACAGTGACCAAATTAGAGAATAAACACAATATAAACAGAGTTACTTATCTTACATGTAAATGAATCTTTCAAGAGACTTTTAAAAAAATCTATCCAAGCTGGCCCAGAAATGGATTTTAAAGGACTCAAATGGTACCAGAATGACACCAATCAAATGCAAAACTATTCAAGGGAATTAGGATCTTAATTTTTGTCCACAAGGTATATAAAAATGGATCTATGTAAATTTTGTGGAGTTTTCAACAAGGGAAGATTTAATGGAGATTTTTTTTGTTATCTTGTCTAAGGCTCCCACATTAATAATAAAGTTCCATTCTACACCCTCACTTTTGTTTTAGAAAAACACTGGGTTTAATGTACATTAATGAACCTAATGAACAACATCTAAGACAAAGGACAGTTACCTCTTCCTCTTCGGAGAGTTTAGTAGCAATATCTGGGGAGTTTTGGGGCTTGTCACTGATGCTCCCATTTGCTTCTCCATGTTCTGCTTCCCATTCCTGTAAAACTTCCTCAAGGTTGAAACGACGACGGTAATTTACGAAGAAGTTTTTCACCTGCACGACTGTTTTATTGCCGATCACATCTGAAATAGCTTGAAAGTCCCGGCCATATTTTCTTATTGCTGAAAAGGGGGGAAAAACGCATACTAGTTCTAAACTTACCAAAAGCTTAATATTTTTAACCTGCAGAATGGCTCAAATTTAGGATGCAAATGTATATAAATGGAACATTTACTCACCCTGCACAGCTAGTAACTGCTCTTCAGTTGTCCAACGAGGATTAATTTTCTGAGTTGTCTAAAGAAATTTCAGCACAGTCAGTGTACAGTTAGAAAACAGTAAAAGTAGATGCATAGAAAAAATAGAAAAAAAGTTTTACTTTAGGTTTCTATATTTTAGTAATTTAGAGTCAATATTACAGCAATACTGCTCCTGATGTTGGAGGAGCTTTACTGCTAGTATTTATTTAGGACCTCAGTGTATGAGTTGACAATGTGGTTTTCACCGAGACAGGAGTCAACGTAGACCTGACTCCACTCACCAAGAGCTGGACAAACCTCCAAGTATCAGTCTAAAATAATGCTTATTAATTAAAATTTAATACAAGCAATTACAAGATGCAGGAGACTGTAATAGCCACTTAAAAAAACTCTACTACAATTCACAATGAGTAAGAATAGTTCCTTACCTCAGATGGCCTGAATTCCTCTATTCCTCCATCTAATTTTTGTTTGAGAGCACCATTTATCTGTTTCACATTTTGGATCTAGGAGCAATAAAGTTTGATTTTAAAGATCCAGTGATTACAAAGCTACTTGTCCAACGATCAGAAAGCTAATACTTTACTAAAAATTATGATTGCATATTTTAATCCTTTAACTGATTCTGCCATCAACAGTACACGATACACAAGTAATAAAATAAACCTGTGGTACTTTCTGTCCAAGATTCAAGACTAGGTTAACAGAAAGAAGATCCATGTTCTCCTATGGAGCTAGTTTGGGCGACAAGAAAGATACACAAAAAAAATGTATTTATACAGCGCTCTTCACATGGGGTAACGCCAAGTGTTTTACAGGGACGGGGAGGACACTGAACAAGGGGGGATTTCAAAAGGACTACAACTTCGTTGGTGTGGGGGTTAGTTACAGCGTCTTGCTGATGAAGCAGACTCAATTCTTTAACGCTTTATGAAATTCCATTACAGCTTGCCACGTAGTCCCGATATGAAAAATATATCACAAGAAGACGTTTTGTTGATGATAGCATAATAAAATACAGAAATGAAGCAGCGTGCGCAAAAGGTAGATCAGACAGAATGCATTGGCTTAAGTACACTTCTGCACTAATTTGATTTCTTGCAATGGATGAAGGCTGAAAAGTGTTCAGGTACAACAGTGGACAGTGTGATAAGTAAGAGGCCACCAAAAATAGTTAAAATGAACATGACTTAGAAAATCCGAGGTCCCTTTCTAAAACTTCAATCGTTTAAAATAAATACATTATTCACTTTACTGGTAGAAGTCGGAATTCTTCAAACGGAAGCTGGGGCACTACCCTGCATGAGGGTATCTATACATATATATATATAACGTACTGTTGTACAATGGACTGAAGTGTTGAATGTTTAGCGTAGTAGGGTTGTGAAGTATACCTCCCTCTCAAAAATCTTTTTTTTTAAAAATTAATGAGTCAGGGCTCATGAAATCGTTTCTTGCGTTATCTATCAGGTTCAGTTCTTTTCAAATAGAGATAGTATCTTATTATCGTAGCATAAAGGTCAGCAATGACATCTTCTACAAGCCATTTCCCTTTGACCAAACTCTTCCTGTTATGCTGCAATAAAATACACAGGTGGGAAATTCTGTATTTTAAAGATAATACGAGCAAAGAAATGATAAGGCTCTCTCTTCAAGTGCTCAGTAGACTAAGAGAATGTCCAGTGGGCCTAAAACCAAGAAGATCCTACGTTCATTGTCGGTCTGTTCAGTTAACTTCTCTCAGTCAGGCAGGCATAACAACAACAATTTACATTTGTATAGCGCCTTTCATGTCAGGAGGACGTCCCAAGACGCTGGAGCTACACAAATGGCATCAATGCTTTGGATTGGAGGAGCTAATGTATGACTTAAAAAAAAACTAAGAAAATGAACGAATTTAAGAAAACCTTACTTGACGTTTAAGCGAGACCAACTCCATATCAAGCTGCCTGAGGACTGTAGTAGCGGCATTTGAACTGCTGGACAATGAATCCAGATCCTCCTGAGCCAGGAACATCCCTCGCGGAGGTTTCTGACTTATTCTCTGCTGTTTCCCTTGTATGGTTCGTGTCTCTTTCTTTGGCGGGACACTTTTAACAGTTTGGGATGCTTGCTGTAAGACCAAGGACATGCCGCACATTAATAGTATTAGGTGGGGGGGGGGAACAAGAGTTTAGAATTAGTCAATTAAATCCCAATTCAGCTGGATAACATGTAGCCAAAGAAGGCACGAGTCTACTAAAGATTAAACTATGGTGCTCAATACACTTTCCAATATACCATGTGAACAACAATTATACCAGTGAGATTTTTCTTTTTTTTCTCTTCATCTTTTAGGGTCAAGTTACCAATTGTAAGATACTCATCAGTGAGCTTAATGGCATTTCCTGCCTCCCAAATTATACTTTGACCCCTTTTTTTTTGCACAAGCTAGCTGCCCAATATTTTAAAGTGTATCCCCTAAAATTCCTACAGAACACTGCTTTTTCCACTCAGTGTCCTACAATAAGAGCTTTAGGACTGTTGGCCACGATACATGCTCTGGAGGCCTCACCCTCTCTGTGTAATATTTTGTTTTAAGTCCACCAGTTGCTTCCTAAGTTTGCGGGCACACCAGTGCAAAAGATATGCAGTGGCAGCTGCTGTTCCCAATGTTATTATTACAGCTTTCAAGAAAATGGTTTACTTTATACAAAGCGACATACAACACACACTTTGTTGGAATGTCCTTGTCTCGTCTAAAGACACAGCAATCAGAAATATATAAAAGTAAAATGATGAATGACAAATCGCACACTTACATGCAAAGTTTTCAAATACTAAAGATTCACTTAATGACTTTTGTACTACTTTTATAAGCTACACTTCTTCCTTCCCATCTAAAAGACTACCTATCTTTTGCCCACAAAATAAAGCCAACTCACGTTACAGTATATTCTGTGAAACGCTTCGAGAAATCTCGAAGAAATGATAAGGCGCTATATCAATTGGAAGGATTATTATTATATCTTCCTGCTTGCATGGAGGATTGGCACAGTGTACCAAGATTAATTATCCTAAAACTTATCTATCAGAGTATAAGGAGCTGGTTTACATATCTCATTCTGTATAATATTGGTTACGTTACAATTCTCAGACCATCAAAACCAACCCACAGGCACAGCTGAAAACTAGCATGAACGTAAATAAACATTTTTCAAGAAACCAACACAGCTTCTACATTTGAAGCGTGTACTTCCAAGTTTGTTCTTAGCCACCTGCTGCCTGCACAGAATACTGTATACATCTCTGCCATCAGTTACTAAGCAGCTGCACTCTGGAAAGAGAATGGGTCACTCAGTGTCCAGTAATGGTATGAAAGATTAAACCATTACTAATCACGCAACTCATTCACTGGTTTGAGGATTTGCTGTTAATGCTTACAAAAGTACCAGCTGTATGAGTAACACTATAAAATGTAAAATCTAAACATAAATATCTGAAATAATCTGATATATGTGTATTTATATATATTATATATGATGGCGTCTTTGCACAATGTATTTCCTGCACACAGCTACAAACAATCAGTAAATACATTATTTGCTCCCACATTTCCATTGCTTTGCTGAACTCAACGTTCCTTTGTAAATGAATACTGCTGGGAGATTGTTGTAATGCGGAATAGCTGTTTATCTCCAACCTCTCAGCTAGAGACTACAGCTTTTTGCAAGAGTTCAAAATGTTAATGGCTTTTATAAGTATAAGTTTTGGTCAAATCTATATGGAGCTCTGTGTAGGTGTTTTCAAAATATCTTCTTCCTCCTTCTGGTTTCAGGGTTACATCTCCAATACACTGCAAACTGTTTGTTCATCTGATTATAGTAAGTTGTACAATAATAGCACAAACTACTTTACCTTGCATTTCTTCCGACCTTACCTAACCTCATTTACACAGACCAGTGTTTGGAGTTACCACTGAACAAAATCTCCAATGTAATCCTGGTTGTACACATTCCAATACAAAATACACCATGAATCGTGGACAGTACCTTTCTCTTACACTAGCAACCGCACCAAAGTAATACAAACCCAGCTGTGCTCAGTGTTTCCAATTGAGATATCAACATAGCGTTGTAAAACTAGCAGCTGTGGTAAATCTTATCTAGGCTTAAGATTCTTACAACAGCCAAAGTAGCAATTTGTTACTTGGATAGTCCCAATGTGAAGGCAGTGGTAGTGTGAATGACAAATTGATCAGGTGTTTTTTTTGAGCAGGAGTAAACAAACAGCAAATGTACCAAATACAAGCCTACAGATGTGTAGGTGCAAAAGAGAGAAAATATCTTTTATTGCTTTGGCTTAAAAGCAAAACCTCGGTTTATGCCCATCACCATAGATCTGCACAGATTCTTCTCCCAAGCTTTAGTGAAAATTGTATCAGGAAAGTAAATTCCATAATTGCTGCGGAACATTCCATAGTTCCTACCAGACTCAACTGAAACACAATTATGGAACAGCCAAGAATATACAGTTGAGCATAAAAAACGCATAGAAGCCAACCCACCTCCTTCTTTGCCTCTTTGCTTGGATCAACTTCACTGTCAATGACATTGTTTGCATTTGTAGTTGTACTGGTATTAGTAGGAGGCTCTTCAATCTCATCACCGCTTAAGAAAAAAAATCACATCACAAAATTTGGCAATTCACAGAAATACCACCATAGCATTGAATAATCTTAAACATTTCATCCTATATAAATACTATTTCGACACTTAAATAATGTTGAAATCAAGGTAACAGAAATTAGTAATTTTGCATTAAAGACGATCAGTTTTGTAAAGACAACTTTCGGACCCAATCAACAGTTGCACAGGAATAAAAGTTTGGCACAGAAATAAGGCATTGAAGACATTGTATATTTGACAATGATGAAAGATGAAACAATGACATTAATAGAAATTAGAAAGTATTATGATACCTTAAGGGTTGACTTGCTCTACAGACTGCAGTTTGGTGTCAAATTTCCCCATGTCTTTTATAATCTTTCGCAATAATCCAACAGATCAGTATATAATTCTCAGTATATATATAATTAGAATTAGATATGGGGAGAATTGCCAAAACATTCACCTTGTAAGCAGTGAAAACATACATCGATTGTACTGAATAAAAGATGGTCAACGTCTTATTCCAAAAATATTAAGCTTTTTTTCCCCACAATTAAACATAACATTGAACATTCACAAAGAGTTTTCAGAAGAGTATAATTTCAAGCTCTTGCAAAGCCACATCTATCTTACTACTAAATGCAGTATCTATAAATTATCTGAGAATATTTGGGGGAATTAATTGCATCCAGCAAGTCCAGCCAGAGCGTCTGCCTGATGTACGACAGCATGGATATTTATTTACCTTTCTTCCTTATCCCTTTTCATCTGTTTGCGAGCATGACGATCCATCACACTAGTTTTGGTCCTTGTCTTCTTCCACGAGTAATAGAACTTTACCAAGCTAGCTATGGATTTGTCAGGCAACTGAAAGACACACAGTGAAAGACACATTCTTGATCTGTAATCAAAACTGAATGACAATCCCTTTGGTTATTTATGGCAATATTATTAATATTCTTTTGACAACTTGTTTCCCCAATAACTCAATAACTTGAGCTAAAGGCTCAATTCCTAACCTATCACCTAGGGATGTAGTGAAGCTCTACGCTGGGTGTCCCAGAAAGGAGGGGAGAAAGGTGGAGGAAGAAGAGATTTTTGGTAAAAGATTTCCATTCCAGTTTGCCATTGACCTTCACTTGAAAGCGCACATACATAGAGGACAGGATATTGATCTGCTTTAATAAAACAGCCAGTCAACACATAAATAATGGCAAAATAAGTGCTACCAAAGGATTGACAGCATGAGTCACCATTTTTAGGAGAGATGATTAAAAGGGAAAATAAAACTCCCAAGTATAGAGTACACTGTATTCTATAGTGCATCAGCCTAGCTCAGTGGAAGCACTCTCCTTCTGAGACAGAAGATTATTGGGTTCAAGCCCCAAATCGGGTCACGGAATCACTGCAAAATATTCTTCTGAACTGGAAAACTCGTGAGGACATTGGAAGGGACTTTTGCAATGCAATGTTTGCAAAGCTTGGTTTATTTTAAAATAGCCACTTCATTTAAAAAAAATTATTGCCACATTTTTTTAAAAAATGCAGTACATTCTCAAGAAAGCACCGTTGCACGTGATGTGCATATTCTCTAAAATTTCCAAGGTCAGAGTCGCTGCTTTCCTACCATTTGCTGGATTCTGTGGAAGGTCTTTCCGTGGAAGCTGAACGCTTGCTCAAAGAGGACACGGTCTTCCACTGTCCACTCATCTGGGAATGGTGTGAAATTTGGAAGGTCAGCCAAGGACTTCTCAATATTGTGTTTGTGCCAGAAGAGCATACCCAAGGCCTATGGAGAAATGCATCAAGTACAAATAGGATTATACATAGGACATGACGCTAAAAATTAAAACATCTACAACATTAGACAAGGGAGGCAGTCAAACAATTGGAAATTTTACGGAATTCTTTAACCAGTAATGTTGCTATTCTGTAAGCATCCTTTTATGGTTGGGATGTCCTCCCGACATGAAAGGTGCTATACAAATGTAATTTTGTAATTAGAATGAAAGGTTACAAAGCAAAGAAATCTCAAGACAAGTGAATCAAACTGGAATTGAAATCTGCAAATCGTTCCTGAGGTACCCAACTGTGACTTTAATTGAGAAATCTCTTAAAATAAAAACTTGATTACCCTTAAACAATCAATATCAATTTAACTAATGAATCACCATCTAATTTACATTGCTGGGTGCAAATTGGCAGCTGTGTGCACCCACAAAAGTCAATATATTTTATAATATATCCTATGAAGCACTTTGAGATGTCTCAACGACATGATGAAGCACAAAATCAAATGCAAGGATTATTATTATAATATTGATACCAGGATGCAAAACCCTACCATTGTCAAAAGTAACTATTCATTTTTCTTACAGCAAGTGCAACACTGCTGCCTCTAGACATGCTATAATCCACTTAATTTTGTTCTCATCACTACGAACAAGAGTATCTCTGTGACACCAAGTGCTACCATAGGCAGAAACTGCCATATTTTCACACTGGAAACTGGCTAAATCTGCTTAATTGGTTTATGAAGAAATATATAAAAAAGGCAAGATGGCCGGCTTTTCTCACAGGATGACACAAGTCTTCTCCAGCTATTGATGATTGCCTTGTAGCCAGAAAATAAAGTCATTATAAGTGCATTTACAATGTGTTGCTCCAGTGTTCTGAAATCCATTCAACAACAAATGGAACAACAACAACAGTTCCACAGACTTGTCCCACAACTGAATCTCTTCTTCCGTGATCTAAATGGAGTATAAATACTAAATCGTAAAGAATGTGCAAAATCATTTTATCTGCTGTTTTCTGGAGCTGGTTGAGAGGGACAAGCCTTCATTTGAGAGGAAGTGCGTCTTACAAGTCCAAATAGGAATGGTATTCAATGTCCCATTGAACCTCTCTCCTCAGCTTAGAGCAGGTGCTATGCTTCTGAATCGCAGGTTAAGTCATGAGACATTGCAAATTGGTGCGGTGGTTCACTGGGGGAAAAACAAATCTACAGCTTATATAAACTTTCAAAAGGGAGGATCTGGCAGGGATGCATCGGAGCAGAACAAACCAAGACAACAACAACAACAACAAAATTCCATTTATAGAGCGCCTTTCACGTCAGGAGGACGTCCCAAGGCGCTGTACAGTTAGGTCAGGCCCCGAGCAGGGGGGAAATGGTCAGGGTGAGGGGGGGGAAGGGAGGGAGCGAGGAGGGGGTAGAGAGTCGAGAGGGGAGCTGAAGGCACGGTCAAAGAGAAAGGTCTTGAGACCGGCCTTGAAGGAGGAAAGGGAGGAGGCGGCGAAGGCACTGGGGGATGGAGTTCCAGAGCCTGGGGGCTGAGAGGCTGAAGGCCACCGATGGTAGGGCGGTTGGGGCGGGGGATGTGGAGCAGACCGGAGCCAGAGGAACGGAGGGTACGGGCAGGTAGGTAGGGGGATAGTAGGTCAGAGAGGTAGGAGGGAGCAAGGCCGTGAATGGCCTTGTAGGTGAGGATGAGGATCTTGAATTCGATCCTCTGGGGGATGGGGAGCCAGTGGAGGCGAGCGAGGGTGGGAGTGATGTGGTCGCGAGGTCTCAGTAAGTAACCAGCACTGAGGGCATAGGAAGAACTGGCACAAAGTTACAACGATCGAGTAATAGAGGATGAGGTTTTCCATACAATGGAGGGGGAAGGTGTGGTGGGAGGGAGAGAAATCATCTGTCCAAGAAATGCAGTGGTAGAAAACATTTAAAGGGACAGTGTTGACAGAGTTTCCGACCCTACTCCTTCCCTCTTCTGGATGTCAGCAATGCCAGGCTGCGTGTGTGGAGGGTGAATACAAATAAGGAAGCAACACAACAGTTACTAATCTATGTGCAGAAGTTTATTTTTCTTTCAGTTTCTATTCACTTAATTATCTAGCCATGGAAGTAGGAAGAACTATTCAAAGCTGCTTTAGATCATATTACAGTTCAAGCCAAGATCAGGAACTCCCCTTGGGTTGGTGATCACAGACTAGTGTACTTGACCTAAAGCACGCACCCAGAGAGATGTCAATTCTCTATCAAACATGGGAGTATGAACAAGGATAAAGAGGGTAGTTTCAGGAGTCATGAAAAAAAATGTTTGAATCAAGGTATCAACTGAGGTATAATGTGTACAGGAGGATCAACGGCTTAAAAAAAATGAAAAAATGAAAAAAAATAAACATCCAACATTAGGGAATGTATTAAAGCCTTCTGTAAAAGGCTATCTTTCATCAAATGTACTCGGAACAAACTAAATTGCCTTGCACTGAATTGCACCAGTCCCACATGCTAAAACTGACATTGTGGACTTACATCTCCCGGAAATATTGATATTTACCTTAACACCTTGATTCACAGATGATCAAAAATCTTCAAAACCAAAAAAGTTGCACTTTTTAAGCTTCAGCATTGACTGAACGTTTTTCCGCTCTATATAGGTGAATACCCAGAAAAATATGTGCATTTGCAACTGAGGGTCCATCCCAGGGAGACTGACTCAGTACCTAACAGGAAATGTAAAACAATCTAAAAGGAACCAACTATGCACTTATGACAATCTTCTCACTAGGGAAAGAATGAACTTTCCTATTTTGGTGTTCGGGCGAAGGTAGAAAGTATGGGTGGGCTTCCTGTAAGCTTGAGCGCTTTCTGGCAGAGGTAAAAATACTGTCACATATCCAATCCCAAGGGCTGGTAAAACACCCTCAAATGTCCACAATCCACAAAATGTCATTGTACCATTTCAAAAGGTGATGGAGAGTTATGGAAACTGCCAAAACGTAGAAGCCCTAAGAGGTTCAGCCTTAGCAAGTGTACAAAAGCTAGAAACTTCTCAACTGCCAACAGGTTTGGAAATATTTACCACAAGGTTTTTCCCGCTCCACCAATTTAGAAAAATCCAATACACTAAATGTTTGAATCAAGATCTGGGTATCAGCTGAGGTATGATGTGTACAGTAGGATCAGTCAATTGCTAAAATTGAGCATCAGCTAAAGCAAGAGCAGCGGGCAGAAAGTGATAAGTCATAGACAAATAAGAGATGAATAGTGTCTTTTAATAATTGCAGACACCAAAGCGTATCCTTCCATTAACAACCTGTGTTTTGCCCACAAGATACAGGCAGTTCACTTTACAGTATATTCTTTGAAGCACTTTGAGGTGTCTCAAAGGCGTGATAAGGCGCTATATCAAATGCAATAATTATTATTATTAGACAGCTCCCTTCCCGCTGGGTAGCGTCTGAGCACTGACAGGATTTCATTGAGGCCACTCTGATCATTTGACTTTCCAAAGTCAATTCTAGCTTCTTGTAATTTTGATAGTTGGAAGCATCCAAGGTCATAGTATCAAATAAGTGAACCTGCTGAGAACTACTACACATTGACAATCAGAGCAAAACTAAGCAAGAGTGACAGTAATCATCAGTTGCATTTCCGACTATGATGTCAGGAATGAAAGGTGGTTCCAAGAAGAAACAACTAAAGAATAAGGGAAACAGACAGTAATCTCTAGCAACAATAAGTCAATGTTCCTTCACACCAGAATTCAAACAAAAGTCTCAGTATGCAGGTTTTCCTGCAAGCAAGTCAATATTGCGAACATTTAGAGTCTAAAATAGATTACCTGTTCCATGTTGTAACCATGCTTTTCTTTAGCTATTGCGATGTATTCATCCACTGCAAACACAAACAAAGAAAAGGTCAAGACTCAAAAATTCAACAAAAATACTGCAACTAGTTCAGTAAGTGAGACAGTTTTTCGAATCTGGACAAAGCAGTTTCAACACCCTGCATCCTTCGGATGTCAAAAAAACCATCCAGAGGTCAAATAGTTCGAAGGCCAGTACAAATATTTATAGGCAATTAAGTTTCTGGGAAACCAAATCCAAACACTTTCTTTTCAAACCTACTGTAATGACAATCCGTAGGGAGGAATGACCTTTTTGCCTAAAGTGGCTTGTGAACATTACATGGATTGGGCGCTCAAAACACAAGGATAAGAAATGGCAGATTCTTTTCCCACCATCAACACAAAAACAAATAGTTCTTCAACAACATTAATTAGACATCCTAATATATCGTGTGATAGATAAGTCTATTCCTGCACCTCCTTATTGCTTGCCAAAATAATAATACCACTTGCATTTGATATAGTGCCTTATATCAAATGCGCGTATTTGAGACGTCTCAAAGCACTTCATAGGATTTTACTGTGAAATGGATTTACTGTATTTTGTGGGTGAAAGGTGGCAGCCCGTTGCTCATCGTAATGCCCCCCAAAAAAGCCATGGAGTGAGTGACCAATTTTATTTGGGGGATGTTTGACCAGGACACCAGGAGAAACTCCCTTCTCTTTCACATTAGTGTAATGCAATCTTTAATATCTACCTGAACCGGCTGATGGCATGGATCTTGGTTTAACTTCTCATCCGAAGGAGGGATTCCATTTCATTTTGAAACCAAAAGATTCCGCAAATAACCCAAGTCACAATTTTATGGGTGTCGGTTTCACTGGCCTTTCTGGGAACCTCATAAAAGTTACTGTAACAAAGTTCCCATAATTTCCTGTAGCCCGGGTCTGAAAGCATTACTGCCATAATCAGATGATGTCAAAGATTAAAAATTGCATGTGTTACTTGACAGAATATGTACAAGTTGGTACATTGGAATCCACCATTCCTGCCCATTTACAACATTCAGCCATTCACATCAGTGAGGATACCGACCTTCGAAACTATATCATGTGGGTTAAAACTCCATTCAGCATTTAACGATGCAATGGGATTTCCACCATAGTTAAGCATCACGAAAAATGCTGCACGTTACACGGAGTAATTTTTATATCAAGATGTGCTCCAACAGCAACAGATTTCAAGTGCAATTTTTTTTTAAAAAAACCCCGTGCCGTTTTTTAACGTTTTTCATTTTTAAACTTAATTCACAGTTTAGATTCCGTTATCACACTGCTTGCTGCACAAGCTACCCTGGAGCCCTTTTAAAGAAGACGCGAGTGTGTTTCTCCTTTCTGACCCACCCTCGATCAGTGCTAACCTGTTCAAAGGGTACTATATTTAATAAAGCTTCCATTTGTTACTGCAAAAACAGTCGGCTCCATAATCCATGTTTAGATGGGAAAGCACAAGTCCTTGCCACCCACAGAAATAAACCAGGTGTCTGACTAAGCCTAGGTAATTTTCCCAGCACCTTGGGACGTCCTCACGACGTGAAAGGCGCTCTATAAACATAATTTTGTTGTTGGTGTAAAGGCAAGTTGTTGTTATCTGTGAAGGTTAGTACCAAGCACAATAAGTTCATAATTTCAGTAAATGTACTTGGCCCTGGGCAACGATACGAGACCCCTTGCTCATCCTACCTGTATGCTGTGTAACTAGAAAGACTGGAAGAGGATTTTTTTTTCTCTCTTCAATTGCTCGAATATCGCTCACCATCGAATCGCCATGCATGCGAACATTTTATAGTTCTGATTTTTTTTGCGATCTAAAAGTAGAGAGATTTCGGTTGATTTTTTTTAAACATTTCTGGTTTCTCTAAAAGTGGGCAATTTGCATACGTTGGGTTGTGGATGGAGATTTTAGTCAATCGAGAGGATGTGAAGCCTCCTACTGGAGGGTTGAAATGCTGCAAGTTGTTGCATAAAGAACACATTCCATTCAATTCAATAGCACACTTGTGTCCCATTTAATTTTTTTTAAAGTGAACGATTGGTTCAACAAGCTTCCATTTGTTACTGCAAAAACAGTGGGCCCCATAATCCATGTTCAGATGGGGAAGCACAAGTCCTCGCCACCCACGGAAATAAACCAGGTGTCCTAGTTAATTTTCCCAGCTATATGCTAAGGATTTTAACACTGCAAAGAAAGAAATGCAGATGGCACAGTATGTATGTTCTGACGATGCAAGAAATTCAACCATCATCTGGTGCTTTCCCCCCTAGAAATTGGAACGGCTCAAAATTAAAACATTTTGAAAAATTGGCCTCGGTTTGACGGGCATCTTTTAATAGGTTCAATAAATAGAATGGGCAGACAACAGAATCGCAGTTCACGGAGATCTCATTTTGTACATTGTACATAAAGGTCTTCTGTCAAGTCAATCTGTGCCGTGCAGATGCCTCTTAGCCAAAGCACTGGGCGCCCTCTGCTGGAAGCTTAACTTATCATCAACCACACCATTCGCCGCACAATCAATATACAACACAAGATATCTACATAAGTTTGTAGAACAGAATCTGAATCAGTGAGCAGCCAACGGTAGCGTCTGCAAATTGAACGGTAAATTAAGTGAGCCTAGAGAAAAACCAGATGAGGGTTTTTTTTTTAAAAAACAAAAAGAATGGCTACTGATGTTTTCAGGTGATTGCCACATCGCAGCCTTGTGGTGACATGCCCACATACCTGGAACATAGCTACATGCGTGCTCTCACAAAACACTTGCTTGGCCAACTCTATCACACACCATTCACTCGTCTGGGTGTCGATGCAAACGGTAATCGATATGGACGGCTAAATTACTTGATTCAAATAGGAAAGGATTCCAATTTTAGAGAATACAGACATGGGAGATACCGGGGGGAAGGAAATACAGGAATAGGAAAAAGCGATGGAACATAGCCTACAAATTTATGCAATGTAATGCAAGTTCAAAACTGAAGAAATGCACGTCAAATTGCTGCACAGCGAGCTTCCTATACTTATTGATCCCCAAGGACTCACTGTCCCAGGATATTCCAATGACACATGCTCAGCTCAGCATGGGAGTGGATCCTGCACAACTTTCTACCAAGACTGAATTAGTATTCCGTGCCCGAGTTAGAGAGTTAGGACGTGAGCTCTTTCCATCATTCAACACACATCAGGTTTGTGATTGCAGCTGATCTGGTGAGGGGAGAGGAGAGCGATATACCTCTTTCCCCCCCCGCCCCCCATGATCCCTGCAGGAGGAAAACTAATAGCAAGTCAACTTGCAAGACTCTTATTCACCTTCTTGTGTCCAATTAGAGACAACAACAGAGACTAGAAGATAAATCAATCATGGACCCACTGTTGATAAGGGAACAGTGAGTGTGTGTACGTAACACATACAATTCTTTAGCCACAATTCTTCCTTTATCCAAGTCACCTGCAGGAGTTATCTTTCTAGTCTTACAAATGATGGAAAACAAGGTTTATCAGAACATTAATTCATTATTAAATTGGACAAAAAAGAGTAAGAGAAAGTAAGAGTCCATGTGCAAGCACCATTCCCTTGCACATAAGACTCTTGTATCAGTGTATTAAACAAATTCCTATTTATCCTAAGACAAAGAAAACTGCAATTAGAACACATTCACACACACAACAGGCTTATAGTTTGTGGTTAACACAGAAGTCAATAGGATCAGTCTAAAATCTCAAAGAAAAAGCTAAGAAAGTTTAAACTGTATGTAAGCAAATAATCAATCAGGTCCTCATTCTCTGAAAGCTTTAAACTGCCACGTTCAAATCAGGATAACTAAATATCTAGAGCATTTTGAAACTCCATTTCAAAGTGCTGGTATTGTTGACCTGTCAAATTCAGACAATAATGCCTGCCATACATGACTTGCAAAAGAAATGCTTTAAAAGAAAAATGACTTCAAAAGTCAGCTTGCTTAATGACCACTCAAGTACAATCACCTGCTGTACTGGTTATCTGCTGCCGTTTCCAATCAGAAAAGATCAAATGTTAGTCAGCCGCACAGCGTGAACGCACATGAAGCGTGCCTGCCAACACGGTCGCGGGCGGACTGAAGGAATACTGGCAACTCTGAAAATTAGACTTCATTTAAAAAGCAACCCAGAGAACTTGCCTTTAATGTGAACAAAGGCAAAGGGAATGATGGCAGATTCCTCCCGTAGTTTAGCAAGCAAATGCAATCCTCCAGGAAAATGATCTGAATGCAAGAAGGTGTAGAAAAACAGAACTGGGTTTTGACAAAAGCAACTGACTGCAGCCTCTCAGTGTGCCGTGAAGCTGAGACATTTAAAAGGCAGTCCAAACCAGGTGTTAAAATCTGTAAAGAGGAATAGGTTGATCTGCACAGCAGTTGATCAAGCAATGCCACCCGACCATCAAAGTAGCGTTCAGCTTCTCAGATTTCACTCTAAAGCATTGGAGGCATGAAATATCCGGAACGCTGGAAATACAAAGTCACAGACTAGCCTCTATACTTTACAGTGTATTCTGTGAAGCGCTTTGAGATGTCTCAAAGACATGATAAGGCGCTATAGCAAATGCAAGGATTATTATTATTATTACAAATACACTAAGCCGACTGTGGCATTGGCCTGTCTGACTAATAGCAGCGTGTTGAAGGAAACTATTTTTAAATGGAAGGTTGGATCACGTGAACTAAAAATTATCCTTCAGGGTTGCTGACAAGTGTAGTACAAAAAGGTTGCAAGACTAGAATCCCGAAGGCACCACAGGCCAAGCACTGATGTCAGTATAAAGGAAGGATATTTATTCCTGGTCTCTGAAGCAAGTCCCAAGCTTAGCAGCACCAACTATCCTACTGCAAATATACACTACACAACAGTTATGACACTTGGAAGCCTGATCAAGCTTGAACCACTAGACTCAGCAGTCGGAAGTGTAAAATAATTATATCCAGGAACAAATAGAAAGGATGAATGTTC